TGGCGGTCCTGAGCGCAGCGCAGGGCCGGGCCGGGTCTCCTCCTGAGGCAGGTAACCCATCGCTGGTGGAGCAGCAAAAGAAACCTAGCTCCCGCTGTTACTGCTTGTTGTAGTAACAGTAACAACAAAAACAACTTACGGGAAGAGGTTTTAATAACAAGCCAAAGGGATAAAAACTGCTCTGAAGGTTTATCCTGTAATTGTGAGTTATAACTGCAGGGATTGTCTTGTGTGTCTTGACACTGTATTTATTCACTTACATGTTTGTTGCAGCACTATGGCTAGTATAAAGACAGAAGATGAAATAATCCTCTTTGAAAGAGAAATGAAAGAGTTTTGGACCAAATTAAAAAACGTTTATGGCACTGAACAGATCAATCAGACTTTAGCACTGAGAGATTCATGCAAGGAGTCCGTAAAAGCGCTTTCAGGTAAAAAGGCTCTATGTTCCTGTTTACCTCTACTTTTTCCAAGTTACCATCAAACTTGTTCAGATAACTGAAATAACTTTCCATTACAGAGAAATGGTCCAAGAAGCTGAAAGAAGGGGACCTGATGATTGATAAAATTCAGGAGTATAGCAATGGTACAGTATGGAGTTTATTTGTGTCTAACATTTCTAAAATTAACTTAATACAGCTGAATATATGTTTAACTTCCCATTTTAAAAGGTAAATAACAACATCAGAATGAAGACAGAATTAAACCCAAACATAATTGGTTGGTTACGGGATGTAAATTTTAAGTCAAAAGCAATTTGTTGGAAAAGTTCATTGATGATGCAAAAAGATAAAGATGGGGTAAAAGTTTTCTGTATAGTGGTTTTGGTGCTTAAGTATTTAAAACAACAAAGTACCAGAACTTGCTGACAGCAATAGGAAAAGTAAATTAAATTGCATAGTAAAGTTAAATATTGTGAGGTTACTTATGCCTCTTCCATATTAGTAATAGAATACAGTCCGCTTATCAGTCTAGGATTAACTTATCTGAATTTTGTAGTTAAATTTCAGAATATTAGATAAGAATAATTGCAACTCTAATGTCAGTCAGTGTTTCCATTCCTTGCTTTCTGTCAAATTATTTGTGGACAGGATCCACCATCCTCCTGCTTTGAGGATGTATATAGTTCTGGCACTAAAAACAAATTGCATCTGATTGAAGTATCAGAGGAGCTCTCTACTTATTAGCTTCTCTTTTGAATAACTTTCACTTTAAGCTTTTATTTGATGCTCGTAGTATAGTTATGCTGACTTCTCTCTTCAGCTGAGACAGCAGATTTTTCACTATATTTTATTCAAATGAGTCATCTCAAACTATATAGATAAGTACTAAATAGCGGGGACCTAATTAATCAACCGTATATGTTCATATTTTCTTGTCTCATTTCAGAGATTCTCCAGCAGAGCCAACGCATACCAGAAAATCAAAGGCATTTGACAGAAATAAAATCTAACCTAAATCAAGAAGAGGATCAAAAGAAGGACTTGACTGACAGCATCCAAGAGCTTAAAGAAGAGTTGATGAAGAAAAAGGAAAGTAAGTAAGCAAGCAAAGGATAATATGTAGATTTTCTTAATTAGAGGAGGAATTGTTTTCAACACTTCCTCTTGATGGGCTTTTCTACTATTCCAACTATTTTTTATGTGCTTTTTTTACCTTTACTTTGATATTTATGGTGGCTTTTAAAATTCTAGTAATATCTTCTAAAAACAAAGCCTCTAAGGAGAGAGTGGAACGACTATGCAAGTCTAAAGTATTGTTTGAAGAGCGGCTTGGACTGGAGATACGCAGAATTCATAGTAAGTTTCTGTAGTTTCTATAGTTTCCATGTGCAGTGATACAATGTGGTTAATGTTGGATTGTGCAGTGAAGAACATACTAGCTTACACAACTGAAGAATTGCCCCAGCCCAGGTATTACCATTGTCTCTCAAATGGCAGAATATGGTATGTTAAAATGCATTTGTCTTTCAAAGAGACCAGGTTTACTTTTAAGTATTCTAAAAATATTAAGTGAAACTGTAGCTTAATATTGTGATTTTTAGTCATCATTGTGACTCTCCAGCAGAGGTTAATGGTGTTAATTAATTATGTTTGTGTTTGCTTTAGATGAACAATTACAGTTTATATTCAGACACATTGACCACAAAGATCCTGACAAGCCATATGTGTTTACCCTTTCCATAAATGAACAGGGAGATTATGAAGGTATGTGAATTTTGAATACTTAAGCAAGAGGAGAGAATCTGATGCCCTTATTTGAAAAGACGGGGAGAGGTGTAAAGTACAGTTTAGTTGTAACCTTTATCTTCCAATTTCTGAATGAAAAATCTTGTCATGGTAATATATTTTTTAATGAAGTTTCTCTTGTTGATTTATATGAAAATATAACTGCTTATCTTCACTCCCTTCCATTTGTGGAGTTGCTGTTTACTTTGTACTGAGCAAAGCAGGATAGAAAAGAGAGATAACAAGCATAGATAAATGCTTCAGTTTGTAGTTTGTTGCTGCTTCCCTTTATGCTAGAGTGAGTGTTCATGCTGACAGGCATATTTCAACCTGTTTGAGAAGCCTAGACAGCAGAAAAAATGAGGTTCCCCACTATGTGGGGAACCCTTACAGTTGTGTGACACAGGAGAAAGATTAAAACTTGAAATCCAGCATTCCTCTTCTGCAAGGGTACAACCTTTCAGATCTTTAAGCTGTTTTTGCAATACAGCTCTTACTTCAGTTACGAAGAAACAGCACTGGTAATTTGAGTACTGTGCTGAGTAGATTCTAGATGAATGCTACTGTTGCTCTGCTATGCCTCTAGGTATGGACTGAATAGATTTCTGGTTTTACTAATGCAAATCTAAACTGTGCTGAGGCTAAAAGTTTATCACATGCTGGGCTACATCAGTTTTCAGTCTGCCTGCCTGCAGAGCAACAAAAATGTTTAGGAATGTGTTTCGGTTTTTAAGCATGCTATGGATTACTGTAAGCTGCTGTAACAATTCAAGCCGAAGCACAGCACTGAGTGGGACGTCTGGAAGTAAAAAAAATTGTGTGTTCTTTGAGGCTTTGTCTTTGCTAAAAGAAAATGATTTAATAGGTTACTCAAAAATAATACTGGATGAAGCTAAAACATACAAAGATAACAATCTACATTTGTATTTCATAAACATGGAAAAAGTAATATTTAATTTTTTTATAATAGTCTAATCTTTTGGAAATTTGTGTCATTTTAGTGACTTCCTGTACTCCTCCTCTGGACTGTATAGCAGAGTTCCAGCTCAAAGTGAGAGAAACTAACAACTTTTCTGCATTTGTTGCCAACATCAGAAAAGCTTTCACTGCTTTATCTTATAAATAGTCTGCATAAAACTAGCTTATACCTCCCTTTCTGGCTGTAGAGCACTTTTTTCTTTCCTTCCTGTATTGTGAAAGCATGTATTTATCCATGTCTTACTCTAATTTCTAAATAAAGAAAAATAAGGAAAATACCATTTTAGTCCACTGTCATCTACAGACATTTTTGATGATTCTTTGAACAACAATATAATCAACTACATCCTTAACTGAATGTCTCCAGACATGTAAATTTTGATCCAGTAGCAAGTAGCTCAGTGATGTAATGATCTATATTTAGCTACCCCAGGAAGATATTAAAAACAAAGTACTTTCTGTAATTTATGTCTCTCTTCCAAAAGCATAGAAGTGTCTTTCAGGTTTGTTTGTGGTTGGAATAGGCGTGAAACCTATCAAAATAATGCACTGGAGCTTAGCAATTACTTCAGTTACCTGTGTCACAGGTCACTATCTTAATTTTTACTGTCTTGTACTCTCCAGCGGATCACTCATTTTCATACATGTAAATCGTTTTTCTTTTGATCTGTTAAGCTGTATATTTTACTGCCTGTTTCAGATTCTTGTCTGAATGCCTACTTCTGTTTTTAGTAACAAAACTGTTTGATGTGCATGCTATTCTTGAATAAAGCTCTTCATAGGAGCAAGGGGGAACTTTGTATTGATTTGATCAGAAATCCTAGAGACCCGAAATAGAGTCCTGCTGTAGCCCAAAGGTTCCTGGCTCCTGCAACACCCAGTTGGGCAGAAAAGCTGGCCTGAAACTTGAGCTGCAGTAGTGAATGAGTAACACTCGAAAGATTACCAGCCTTAGTGTTTTATTGGGCATGTTTTAGAACAGACTAGTCATTTTGCTTTATTACATAAATAGTCCTTCACTGCAACATGCTTTATCATTGTCATTGGAAATCTTAAGACATGTCAAAGCCTGAAGTATAATGTATTAAAGTATGAAATGCAGTACTTACAAATATATCATCTACGTATCTTGCAACTTATCAAGACTACTACTGCCACAGTACTCAGCTTTAATTAAAACTATTCTTTTTCTATCTTATTTGTAAAGACTTTTCACAAAATATTTAAATGGATAGCTGCAACAAGAAAAAAAACTATTTGATAATATAACATAGTTCAAATAGAATCTTAATAAATTCAGTCCTGGGAATTCTAGTGAACTAAAAGACCACTTGAATCAAAAACTAATGCTGATCTCTCTCAAAACACAAATATCTAAGTACATAAAAATTAAATATAGTGTAAAGAGTAAAAATATCCAGCATTCTGAAAACCTGGTGAAAAAGTATTTAGAATTCTAACCCTTTAAAATACCTTTTTGAAGAATGTTCCCAATTGTTTTTCAATAAAAACAAAACTTCAGAATATTTTCTGTGAAGTGAAAATTCTTCATTTAAAATAACTCCCTGTCTCAAAGCACCTGTAAACAGAGGCCCCTGTCTTTCCTGCGAGATGCTAGTTCAGTTAAATGTCTTCAAATTTATATAACATGTACCTACATTAGCATTTCATTTTTTATCAGGCGTGGACTTTTGGAGTGAATCTCCTGATCCTCACCACTGTGGTTCACATCTCAAATGCAAACTGCATTCCTTTTGGAAGGCAACTAAGCTGGGAGATGCACACATAATGTGCTCCTGCTGGTAATGTTATGTAGTCCATAGGACAGACCAGAGCTGGTCCAAACCAGCATTTGGTGCAGATGTTGGTCTTCCCATTTACTAATGTAACTATAGCAGCGCTCACTGTTCTTGCCCCAACCTATAATCTTATGCTTGGGCAAAAAACCAAAACAAACACCACCCCCCCACTTATTCCTATGCCTTCATCAGCTTCTTAATATGTAAACCTGGCCATTTAGTCATCTTTAAATCTGGTGATGCTGACAAGATATTCTTACTACAGTTGAGAATATTGCCCAGTCTAATGGGAAACGTATTTTAAATCACTTGGTTTGTCTAAACTGAACAGTACAACTTGCTGGATACAGCACAGACTATCTGCTCAATCTTCTGTGAGACAGCTAAAGTGCATCTTAACAAAAACCAGTAACCCATGTTTGCACATGTTGGCTCCAACAAAGAGATAACCTTCCATTTCTTCTTCCCTATAGGGCATAATTTGCTATTTTCTAAATAATGATCATTTTCCTTAGTGTGCCGTATTGATTTTTTTTCCTTGTCCTACAGCGAGCTATACACAAAACAAGAGCAGTAAGAATGGTAAAGGTGCCAACTGATTACATTACAATTTTAGAACAGAACAGCAGCAGAGATTACTAGATTTCTACAATGACATCCCAAATGAAATACATCTTCAATTTCTGCCCTGTCCATAAACCCTATGTACTGACAATGGGACAAACAGAGGCATAGGCTGGGAGACTGCTTTCAAGTACTGGGTCTAGTTGTTCATTAGCAGATTTTGCCTCCTTTTCAACCATGCTAACAGGAATATTTAAATAGCACGTATTTCTTTCAATTAATGGCTTCTACCACTAAAACGCTGTAGGCACTTCTATGTAGGTCAATAGACTAGCCAGCAGTTAAAAAAAATGCATTCTGCCAGCTCTGCACTTCCCATTTCTATCTTCTCTCCCAGGAGCTACGACTGCTGTATTACCCCGCTTTGTTGGTATCTCTTCTCTTCCTTCCTTGTACAGAAGCCTTCACCTTCCATGTTAGAAAGCCTGTCCCTTCTGGCTTCTCGCTACTGGCATCGCCCCTGTATTCAGAATGACTGTATTCATTTTGAAGCATACTCCTGCCCTTCTCCACCTGGCTGTGCCAAGCAACTCTTAGTTGCTCTGGAAAGTAAGAACTTAAGGATGCTCCACCAAATATTTTACAGCTCTTGTATGGAAGCAAAAAGACAGGTAGTAGCAGCCACCTCATTTCCATGTTTTCAAATGGAGCTGTTTATTCATTAAGGCTGTACATATTGCTCAGATGCACTCTGTAGCATATCTGATTTGATCATCATCTTCACAGGAGAAAAAAATTGAAACACGCCCTGAGTAACAAAGATAAATGCTCAGACTTACTGCCATTTTCATGTTCATCCCAGGCATGAGTAGTTGGTTTATTGCTTCTAACAAAATCACTTTGCCAAGATTGCTATGCACAGAGCATAAAATATATGACAACAACTGCACTGGAATTTACATTCCTAGAATTGTTTGTTAGAAAAGATGATGTGCTTCGTTGTAAATGTTCTGTGCATACACCTAAAGCAAGAAGTAAAGTTTGAAATGTTTTTTGTGTGTAATTTAAACCTTTACAGCTCCTTTTGGAGTTTGAATAATGAACCTGCTTATATCTGCCAAGGCAAATCAGATGCAGATTTTACTTCCTCTAAAACAGAGCCAGGCATTCCAAAAGCAGGTAAAAGCTAGGAAAGTGTACACAATAGATTTTTCTTTGCTTATTATAAAGTATGAAGTAAAACTGGCTTGTGACATCCCTAAAACAGCCTTTATGCCAGCTGAAGATCTGTCTTAAAACCTTTGTGCCTTTATCAAATGCACTTAGTGCTTACAGAATTTCACACACCTGGATCTGTGGCAATTTGGAATTTTCTATTTGTTACGAAGCTGCACAATACAGCGATATCCAATAATAGTAAAGACAACTAGGCTAATACTATATACTAACCCAACAGACACAATTAATTGGAACCCCGGCGTACTGGGTAGCATACAAATACAGACAGAAATGTCCCGAAGAGCATATGGGAAAGCTCTTGGGCTCAAAAGCAGTATGTGGCTTAGGGACTATGACACACAACCAACCAGCCCCCTCCAGCTGGTGCTAGTACTCCATCTACTAGCAGGATCAGGTTTATCTTCAGGCAGACATAGATTTTAGTGAAGGTCAGTGAAGTCTTTTCTTTTTCATAAATCAGTTTGCCCAACCCTGAACATTGCTTTCCCTTTCAAACTGCTGACCTGTACTTAGCTACCAAGGCTCAAGCCTGAAATGTGTGGGCCATCAACTAATGCTGACCATACAGAAAACTGCTGATGTACTGGTGCTCAGCACCTCATCAAATTTATCTTGTAATATAATGTAAAAATCTTGAAAAAATGTGTTGAATTTATTAGATATTGGTAATACACAGTGAATTTAAGCACTGTTGGGAAGACAAAATAATATTAAACAATAACATATGTACTAAATGCATTTAATCACAATTGTTGTTTGTATGCTAGCTGGAGGTCAGATTTGAAAAGAAATTGAATTACTGTAAGAGTCCTTCTGGCTAACAGAACAGTTTTATTACACACCTACTCAACCAAGAGTGGAGGTGGTTAAGCTGAGTTTGTTGACATTTTTCATAAACCCTCTTGGATGTTGCTAGACATATTTTAAAAAGCAAACAAACAAGTAATGGCTACACTTGTGAAAATTAACACAGACATGGAACTTATGCTATGCTTCTGTCATATTCCAATTGTGTTATATTAGTTACAGTTTTCTCTAATGCTTCAATCAACTTTGTGAATTTATTCATTACCTTGATATTGTCTAAATTAGTCCTGTCATTATAACTCTAAAATCACTGTGAACTCATTTGTGAGTGATTTGTAATTGAACCCAACATAACAAACATGTGCACACATAAATCACTTAGCCCCACAGGCAGATTACAGTACCTTTTTTAACTGTATGAATAAACCATACTAAATAATTATGGTAATACTCTTACCTTTTTGAAAGCAATAGTTGCAATCCAATTACATAAGGCTTTACTGCTGAATAGGATTGTATGCCTGAAAGGTTGGGGGGAATGGCTCTGACTGCCAGACAGTGAGACTCCATTCTTTTTGTCCTCATTATCCCTAATCGCTCCAACAATTATACACAAAGAACCCTTTACAATCTTGGGCTTATAAACAAGTTGTTCCAGCAGAAGCAGAGGTAACGAAGCCCGATTCCTACAGATCTGTGGTTTTGTCCTTAAACGGTGCCATTCTCTTCACTGCAATACCCCAGCTCTGCTTTACAGTCTCCCTCGTGGATGAAAGCCAGCGCCACTCCCGAGTTACGCTACTTCAGCCCCTGCTCGGCTGCTGCCGAAGCCGCAGGACGACGGCTGCACCCTGCCTACCCTTCCTC